AGACGTGACTGGCCGGCGCTCTTCGGATGGCCCTTCGGGCCACCACGTGCCAGGGCGGAAGTAAAGGTGTGTGCACTCCCTACAAGTCGTTCTATGAGGAACAGGTATATACAATGAACAGACGTGGACCCCTTGTTTCTTTTGTTTTCAAATATCACTAATTAGTGTAAATTGGGTGAATTGAATCACCGATCTCGTTGAATTGTTGTGGAATATTTACTAAAACGGTTGAGCATAGGATACAGGCAATGTTCAATGAGCTCCAAATTGAGGCGTGTGTCTGTGATAGGTCGTTTACCACTTATACCGCTAATACCTCCTATATTTCCCTATACCTCTTATACCTCCTATACCTTGTATACCTCTATACCTCCTATAACTATATATCTCTATATCATCTTCCCTAAAACATAATCGAGTTTCCTGGGATATCCGTAGAAGACATCATATGAAATACGGTGGCATTGAATTTGTAATCTTAAATTAACATATCATATATGCATTATTTACACATTACCCCATGACATCTTGGATTGACCCTATACCAGCCAACTAGACAGCTTTCGCTACGTGGTCAACAATGTTAGATTTTAATTTATGATTAATGAAATGATATGGATAATATACGAGCAGGGGCCAAAAAAAGATAAACAATAATATCATCGTTTTCTAACAAGAATAAAAAATATTTCTATTATTTTTATAATTTTAAATGTTCATATAAAATTTATTCAATAAATTATGACTAATGAAATCATGTTGCTAATATACGAGCAAGAGTCAAAAAAAAGATAAATGATAATATTATCGTTTACCAACATGAATACAAGATGCTTCTATTTTTTTTATAATTCTAAATGTTCATTTAAAATTTATTCAATAAATTACGATGAATGAAATTACGTTGATAATATACGAGCAAAAGTCAAAAGAAAGATTAACGATCATATCATCGTTTTGTCACAAGAGTAAAAAATGTTCCTATTGTTTTTTTTTAATAATTCTAGATGTTTATTTGAAATTTATTCAATAAGTTATGACTAATGAAATCATGTAGATAATATACGAGCAAGAGTCAAAAAAAGTTAACGATTAACTCCTATATCTGCTATATCTCCTATACGTCCTATATCTCCTATATCTC